GAAACAATCTCACCTCCTAAAGCTAACCAAAAACCCAATGGTGTCCAGAAGGGAGGCTCTTTGATTACACTTAATAAGCAATGTGCTGGTGAAGCAACAATTGTTTATGGACATGGGGCTGACATTGAGACATTAATGCCAGAGTTAAGGCACCCCGATTACTACACTATGCCTCAGATCCAAGAGCTTCCAGCCATGGAAAGGGCTGAACTTTGATTCATCCACCATCTCAGCAATTTTGTCGTGGGAAGAAAGGCCATTGTCCAATTCAACAACCAAAAGGCAATTGTTTATAAGGACGAGAGCTAGAAACCGCCTGTAGGACAAGGTCTCAACAAACCTGATGGGGTCGCACTCCTAAACATAAAAGTTTTTGACAAGAAGACTGGTCAGAGCTAAACCGATGGGTCAAGAGTTGACAAGTACATAGAGATGCTCAATAGAAAGGCAGAGGATCAAGGTGCCGAGTTCATGTCTTATGACCCACTCAAAGGAGAATGGAAGTTCAGGGATAAACATTTCAACAAATATTGTCTTCGCGACGATGAATGAATCTGATGAGAAGCCAGAGGAAACATTTACACTATGCTTTATTGCATAATTTGTGTTGTTAATTAGTCTTAAAAAGTTAATAAACCCTAATTTTATTGTCATTGTTTTGAAGTAATTCAAATTGGGATTACACAATTAAAGTGTTGATAATCACAAAAAGGACGATATATTGATATTTATCATCAAGATTTTATTCTCTATATTTTGTGAAAATGAGCAATTTCATGTGTGTCCAACATTCATCTTCACACACTATGACCTTATGAAAATGGAATAACGTATATTGGGACTAGACGACTTGCAGGTAAAAAACAACAGCAAGCAGTGGAGAATTTGCAATCGTTATGTTGAAGGCTTTGACCATCACTGCAAGGTAACAAGATGAGCTTTTTGCCCCCATCAATTCTTCCACTTTGCTTATAAGATGTGCCTTATAATGGACATTTTATGTATTGGCATAAAGCAGTGACTAAATAACTGTAAATGGAGGTGGACCCAAGAGGTATTAAGTTTTTATCCAAATCAAAGCGGTACCTCTTTGCAGTCTTTGC